AACTTTTGATGACATTCTAAATGAAGGAACTTTCAATCAAAAAATATGACGAAACAATGAGGACAGTTTGACCTAATTTCTTTTATACTGCTTTCAATTTATTACAGCCTCGTTTAATTCGTATCAAAGTACGAGTAGTTACGTCCAGAAATAGTAAAATTTTAAGTTTTAAATAGTAAAATCGTCATTACTATTATTCACATAAAGCCTAACTTATAAATATTTAGTTTTATAATGAGAAATAAATAGAGATACAGACGTATGCACCTAAGCATATAAAAGAAAATAAACCTGAACTACCGATATTTTAAAAAATTAATAAATTTTAAATAATAAATTAAACGCAATACTCTAAAGCTTTATTTCCAAACAAAAGGAATTAATTTCAATAAAACTAAGTGCATCAAATTTTCTAATATATAGTTAGAAATGTAAATAACGAAGGCGGACCTTGACGCTTTTGTGTTCGCGAAATCAAATCAATCAATTCGGGGAGGTGCTGCAAGATATTTTTTCCAAAGCATCCCTTATCGCTGTGTACATATCATTAGTAATGCAAAATAATGGGATACGGATACCTCGCGCCGTTTGCGAGCTAGTGATTAATGCTGTTCGCCATTAATTCTTATTTTTGATGAGAAATTTGACTTGCGCTGTCAGGCGCCGGATCCAGATTAATATTGGCTGACGCTGCAACTTGTATTATAACAATGCTGGGCGTTCTCCGCGCGTATAATGTTCGTTCAGCTTCTTTTGAGACAGACGGGAGAGCAAATAATGCTTAGGTGATTTTTGTACCTTCCTTCTCTGTAGGATGAGTAAAATGAGGAGGATGAGGGATTCAATGAAACGTTTTCCGTTCTGAAGCAACGCGTTTGTTATCGCAAAAGAAATATTACATTACCACATATCAAAGGTACAAATAGTTCGGTTCGCCGAGGAAACTAGCCGAATAGTTTTCGCCGGCGAAAGGGCGAACTACAAAGAGCTACATAAAATGCCAGAACGACCGCATCGGCGACAAACTCGGGAGGTATTCGGAGGGCTGACGACTGACGTGACTGTGCACCCTTTACGTTGCGCCCTCCGCATATTAGCCTACTGGAAATCAAAATCCTAACGTTATTAATGATCCGCCATGACGGTCTAAATATCTCGGCGACCGTTGAAATGCTAACGGAAACACTCGCGGCCGACTCGAGATACTAAACAAATGCACTCAGTCGACAGACGCGCTCCAAGGAATCATCGCTCATAACGGGAGCCGATGAAAAATCACGGAATACTCGGGGCATTCAGCATCTTTATCTCCCGAATACAAGAGTTCATTTTATGACCATTAATTTCGCCCCAGCCGGGGTGTTTTATCACAACGGCTGCGAGCTCTGTCGCGCGTCTCATTAATCAAAAGCATTTGTTTACAACGAAGGGAATTTGATTTGATTAAAATAATTCGCAATATCCTTGATAAATATCACCCTCGGTCTCCGTTTGATCTTCGCTGAAATTAATGGTGGAGGATCCAATCACGCAAGTGTCTCGACGTCAAGATCTCATGGTGTTTATTCAGCTTCACTGAAACTATGGCAAATAAATAATATAATTCGTTATTTTACGTACGTTTTCATTATTTTTGATCAGTCGATAAAATGTTTCTCCGCGGTTAAGTTTAAATTATGTATACAGAGTGTACCATCTCGCAAAAGCCCTTATGTGTGTTGATATGTTTATGAATATAAGTTCTTGAATTTAAAAAATATTTCAATTTGATTTGTTATTCTCTGTCGATATATTTTATAGTAGGTGGGTCATGTTCCACATTAAAACCGACATGTATTAAGGCGGCTAAATAGGTTACGTAATACATAAACGCAATTTTAATACGAAGTAAGTAGGCGAGATAAGTTTAAAAATATGTCTATTTGTCCTTAATTGTTGTAGTAGTTATTACAAAATTGTTTTTCTATTACTATACAATTTCACATCACTTTGCATTCGTGGTCATTTTAAAACTAAAAAATTCGTCGGTTACATACATATTCACAATTAAATACCACTTCTATTAATTAATTAAATGCAATAAAAAAATGGGGCTTGCTATATCAGTTATGAATCATTCCATTTAGAGTTGTTTAAAACACAAGCGCTTGTCATCTTTAATGCAAAAATAAATAACTGTTGTTTAACACTGACATCTATTTAATACACTTTTATGTAAATGTCTCAATTCCATGTCAACTTCTATAAGGAATTATTAACTCAGTACTAATAAACTACCCTGTGACGTCTTCTTAAACATGAATTAACAGACACATAGTATGCAGCCTCTCAAAGACTGCTCGGAGCACGACATTTTTGAGCGGTCTGGGGATCGAAATCATCTCGCCGTGACAGTTGATTGAGGTATAGACTCAAGATCGCCTAAATAACTGCGCTATCTATGTAGTCGATTTAAATTCATGACTCCGTGGCGTAGTTTCCGAGATATTGACCTCGGCGTCGGGGGTCGTGGGTTCGATTTCCGCGCGTGACAACTATTTGTGTGATCCACAGAATAATTGTTTCGCATCTGGATGTTTTGTTCACGTGAAATTTATGTGTGTAAAACGTCGTTAGAACTAAAGAAAGGGCAATGTTTTTAATAAAATATTTCCAACAGTGTGACAGGTCCCGCCATCTAGCGGGCCCTTTCGATCCTTTAAGCCGGGGCAGGGTCACGCGGCGTGGATAGGGGCACGATGAGTAACTGCGACGTCAGAGCGACGTGAGCCGCCGTGGACCCCAGGCTCAGAATCGCGATTAAGCGACGCTAATACGATCCGAAACCGAAGCCGAGCGGACCGGCGAATAGATCCCGACGATTTGTCGAATGCTAATTGAGTCTGCGACTGATTTAATGCGCCGATCCGGCCGTGCAGCCAGCCTCGTTACCGGCATAGCGGTGGCTCCGAATTACGTACATTAAGCAACTTTTTGTACTTGTTCAATGGATTCCTGTTCACCCCTTTTTAAGGTGCATCCTTTATAAATGGGCTTTATTTATTTTTTCATTTATTTTAAATTTTTCGCACATCTGTCTGTATACAGCGTGTCGTTACCATCGCGACAATAAATGAACACACATATAGGGGATAACTTTTTAAAATTGTATTAAACATTTAAATTCTTTAAACATCGATTTACAGAGTTATAAAATTTTCCAAAACAAAGCATTTTAGAACACCCTTACCTATAAAAGCGTAACGTAAAGTTCATTTGTAAAGGTCAAAAAGCATATGAATGGGTTGAATGAATTTAAAAGAGACAAAACATACTATTAGAAGGAGAGGCTTGTAATACGACGCTGTGGCGCGAGTTGTATTTGGATGTTACAAATTTTGTTTCTTTTTTACTTAATTAGTTTGTTTGAAAAATATTTTTTTTAATTATGGATTTTGTTTAACGTTAATATTTATTTATGATTATTGGCAAGTAGCGTTACACGTGTGTTAAATTATTGTCGCGATGGTAACGACACGCTGGCGGTTTTCTGTCTACCCATTTTGGACCATGAAGTTTGTGTTTTCAATTACTTACATAAAAAATAATTAAACTACTTGTTTTCAAATAACTATACAATTATTTTATGTAAATATATATTTGGCTACGTCATTTTGCAACTCCATAACTTATATTCACTTTGCTGTAATATTCTCGTTGACGTAATTCCGTTCTTTGCTTATATATCTTTGCGCACTTGCTAAGCCAATGGAGTCAGCGGCGGGAGTCGTGGGTTTGATTTCCATACGGGAATTTGTGTGACTCACAGAAAACTGTTCCGGATCTGGGTGTGTGTTCCCAAGAAGGGTCGACGTCAAGCAGGCGGCAGATTATAAAATGCCTGCCAAATACTTTTAACAAGATGATTTACATTGTGCCGATCCCGCCTAGGTAGAGTAAGGGCAGTAGAAAGAAAAAGAAGACGTGAGAGTTTCCATTTTGAAGATTTATAAACGTCGTGCCGTATTAAAACTACATCGTAAGCTGTTAACTTGTTCAGGCGCAATACCACAAATAAAACTCTCGTAATAAAGATGAGTGTTTTACACCGAGAAAAGATAAAAAGGCTTCAACAATGTTGACATTGTTAAAAATATATCTTAAGGGACTCGCGCAGCAAACAAAATATCATTATAATAACACGCCTCAGTAGACATCGGGCAAAAACAAAGCAAACAGCACCAACAAATTATATTAAATCAGAGATAATCCTGTCAATTAATTGGACTTAGCTTTGGGAACCGGTCGCCGACGCATGCGCGAATCGAGATAATGCCGAGAGTGGAGGCTGCGGGCTCCGTGCGAATGTTTCTGCTAAGTTTAACGAAGTCCTATCGATGACGTCTGCGTTATGACCCATATATTAGTATAAGGTAAAAAACGTTTGTTGGTAAAAAAAATGGTATAATATAATATCAATTTGACTAACCTAGTGATCTACAATCATAAATATATAGAGTAGTAGACGTCTCGATCGCTCACAATAACATTATTAAAAAACCGGCCAAGTGCGAGTCGGTCTCGCTCACGAAGTGTTCCGTATCACTATATAAAATCATGTTTATTGTATCGGAGCCCCACATAAGTATTTTTTATTCTATTTTTTACTATTTGTTGTTATAGCGGCAACAGAAATATATCATGTATGAAAATGTCAACTCTCTAACTATCACGATTCATGAGATACAGCCCGAACGGACGGACAGACAGAAAGACAGCGAAGTCTTAGTAACATTCAGCCTTTGGGTACTGAACCCTAAAAAGACCTACTGCACTTTGTGGCACAAATTGAAAAGCGCGGTATTCTGCAATCATCGCCTTCCTTGTCACGGGGCGACGTTAATTCACGATTCATTATGTTTAATTAATAATTTGCAATGCTCGCACGATCGCATGCTTAAATAGAGGGCGCTCAGTTGCTTTTTATTTCGGAAATTACTAGGTACTTTTAAACGCGCCTAATCCAGCGCCCGCCGCGCCGCGGGCCGATCCTCGCCTGACAGTGACACATCGGTACACGGCCCGGTGTCCGACTGTAATTCTATCCGACACACGGATCTCGGATAAACGGATACGCTTTACGTACGATTCTACACTCAATTAAAAAGCTTCATCAATCGGATCGAACAGCGGGGGGAGGCGATGGAAAATGGCGGACCGTCTGACGTCAAAACCTCTCGATCGATTTGATTTTACGACGCGTTTATGATTCGTTTAACTCTCTTTTCAGAGTTCGCGCGTAATTGCAGCTACTTAAGAATGCGAATATTGTAAACGTATAAAATTTTATTTAATGCATACGCTCTTTGCTGTGTCTCAATTAACAAAATAACCTTTCCAAATTTTCCCCTATAGTTTAACCGCGAATTTAAATTTAAAACGTTTCGGGGCACTCAGTGCATACATCATTTCCCTTCTTATTGCACAATTTAAGTCTTTTATACACTTATTCGAAGTGCTTAAAGCCAAGTCAAAATCGGGTGACTCTCAGAGCGCGCCGATCAATCACCATCCATTAAGCAAGAAAAGAAAAGCGGTTCCCCCCTCACTGGCCCTCGAATTGGCCCAATTTACATGAGAGCCGCTTTTTCCTCGCATCGAGATTAGCCCCCGAATGAGTTTGATGAATTGTTCGCACCCCGCAAGCCCGGGCTCCGCGAGCGGTCATTTGTTAAAAATACACCCGATCCACGGATCTAATTGTCTCCTCTAATTTCACACTCCCCCATGATATCTGCTTGTCGTTTAAATTAAGAACGAGCCTTCCATTTTGTTTTGTTTGCACGATTTCGGACCAGTTCGCTTTAACCGTTTCATTTCGTATTTTGTAATTGCAGTTAAGGATGAAGAAAAAGAAAGTGGAAAGAACATAAAGAAAATTATCGTCATAAGGAATGCTTCAAATGTAAACTCAATTTAAACTGATAAATAGTAAAAAGTTATCTTTACATGATATTGATTATGGCAAAGATTGCGGCTCTATGACGTGATCGTTTTGTTTAGGTATGTCTTGACCTTACCTTTCGAGATGTTTTACGATGTCCTCATAAGCGGCTCTACAATTCTCCCAAATACCAGATCTGTTGACAAATGAAATAAAATAAGAGAAATGACGAAGGCACAAAATGAAAACAATTAAAGATGGTCGAAAATAACAGCGTGAGTTTCAAAACGTTTTCTTTGCGTTATGAAATTGCAAAGACAAAAGTTGCAACAAAGTGTCTGACAGCAATACAAAATAAAAGTTCCCGAGTGAAAGGGTTTAAATGTTAAAGGAATAATTATGAGCACTCAATATTAAATGTTCCGTTAGGCTGGGCGAGCGAGGGGCCGAAGAAATTAATTATGTTTTTAAAACAATCGCTTATATTTGTGCCGTAACAACTCATGCGTGATCGTTGAAATTGTTTCTCAATTACTTCGGCTCTTTGTTTTTCATTAAACTTTCCTGCGCCTCTTGGACAAGGAATAAATTGTTAAAAAATCATTCATCAAACAAATGATCGACAGACAATAGCGGTCCGAAGCAATGTCAACGTGCTTATTCGAATAGGCAAAGACAAAATTTTTTTCCTACCGCTTTTAATATAGTAATAGTAAATTATAGAATAAGTGGACATTTTAAGATCTTTAAAATTCTTATCAGCTATTTTCTGTTCATTGAAGTCAGTACCACAGTCCCCGTCAGTTATGTGATCGTGAAGGCATAAAAATAAGAAATTATGAAAATATAAGTCTTCTAATTAGCATTGTTTTATCGCATTTTAATCTGAGGTCTTATCTTTAAATAATATCCTATTCATTATAAAATTTTCAAGTACGCATTTGTGTTGGTATTTTTTATTGTTTGAGAAAATTGACCTAATGTCTTCTTTAATACCATTTTAAAGATATTTTTAAACACAACTGTTTGTGTGTAAGATAATAACTTCTCGTCTAGATTATTTTTCGTAATTAGCAAAGTTGTCTAATGAACCGTGGTTCCCGGCTTTGTTTTAAAATCATCTTATCTTTCATAAAATGTAGATGATGTAAAAAACGATTCCCTTCTCAAATATCGAAGAAATATTCCCATCCTTAAGAATTTCCTAATTTTTTTTAGACAATTCCAACCCAATTTTATAACAGGCTTACGCTGTATTGAAAAAGTTAAGAAATTATTATGGTGTCTGTTTTATTAAAATAAAAGTTGAAAATACGTTTAGAAGGCATAAATGACATCATGCCCTCAACGATGTTGGACGACATGTGTAATGCAGGCTACTGAATCACTCGGGGCCAGTAAGACAGTGGGGTAAGTCAAGTGAGCGTTGTAGGTCTTCCGGCGGAAGTGAGGGCACTCAGTGTTTGTACTTTTCATATTGGATTAACTTGCTTAGACGTTTAACCTGCCCCCATCGCTACTGACCCGCTAGAGAGGTTTCTTTTCGTAAACTTAGCGGTGTGTAAGCCGATTTGCTGCTAGATTGCCGATTTCGGTGGAAATTGTTTCAACCTTGAACGGTTGTGGCCAAGCGTTGTTTGAGTGCTTATTTTATTCTATTACTTTCACACCTCGTTTTTTAAACTTTAGCATGGTAAGTTAAAAAATAATACTAAGATCATGAACTCGTGAACTTAGACAATGTAATTAGATTATAATATATAACATTTAAATGATGCTGATTGCAATATGAACGCGAAGGGTGCAAGAAAGTTCCATTCTATTCGAAGTCTGGTACAGCTATGACGAGTAAGATTTTTTTAAGTCTTGTTACCCACCTATAAGATTAGTGGTCGAATTAGACAAATCACGGCATACGAATCCATCGTTTAAATAGTCGATCAGCGATTTCTTTTTGTTTAAAAGATATGTGACTAAACAAGAGGTTCGTCTGATGGTAAGTAAGGACCATCGCCCATAGACACCACAACACCAGAGATGCGGTCGACCTGCTTGCTGCACTACAGCAGGCACACTTGGACAAGTGTGCCTGCGATAGTTTGTCGCTTTGTCTGGTAGGCGAGGTAACCAGGGCCCACTTTTTTAAAGGTTGGCAACGCATGTGCAACTCCACGGTGTTTTCAGATTTTTAATGTATATTTATATATATATTTTTAGGATGTTTTTACACAACGTTCTCTAGTCCCAAACCAAGCAACGCTTGTACTAGGGGTACTAGATAACCGATAAACACACTTAAGCATACTTTTCTGTTGTAAACAAATACATATTATACATATATAAACACCCAGACACTAGAAAAACACTATGTTCATCACACAATATTTTTCCAGTAGTGGGGATCGAACCCACATCCTCTGGCGCAGGAGGCTGGTACACTACCCACTACGCCATTCATTTCACATTCGGTACCAACTATACTTCGGATATAAAACATTGTGTAGCAAAAGCTGATTTGTTAGCTGTTGTTCCCCCATCCCACTGAACTACGTCGATTCCACCTGACCGAATTCAATATTTTGGTACGCAAAGGTTGACTTCACAACTGCTCATCACATTATGACAACAACCACCATAGAGTTAACAATAAATTATCACCTGCTGCATTATCACAGGCATAAAATATCCCCAATATCCGTTGGTTTATTTATCAATCATTAAAACTGAAATAGATCGCGTTGCACCCACCCAGCCGGAGAAAATAATGCCCAAACAGTCCACACAACCGCGCCATGGCGCGGGTGGACCGCCGCGCCCCCATTTTCATGACTTTACCAATTTCCGTTGCAGGTTAGTTTATTGTAGTTTGTTGCCTTTAAAGATTTTATTTGACTATTAAAGTAGACAAGGCACGACAAGTTAATCAACTCGGTTTAATATTCGTAAACAGTGCGAGACGCTACATGGAGAAGTCTACGTCTAACTGAGCACTTATTTGTAATTTATTATTAATAATCGAGACACGTTGGATTATGTACCTTCTAGTACTAATGAGAATCTTCCGTTAAATAAGCTTCCTTATTTGAATTATTAAGTTAAAACTTTTAAAGTTTTTACAGGAAAATCGGTTGGTAAGTCCAACTGGAAGTTTTATATTAGCAGAAAATAGATTCTATATATATATATTTAGGTATATATTTTTATAGGTTTAGATTTTGATTTGATTTAATTTCTTTTTTAATTAGCACTCAGTATAAATCCATTTCTACAAAGTCATACTTAATGGATAGAAAAACTGTCTTTATAAACTGATTAGAATATATGTCTCGTTAATAAGGATTTTTTTGGGAGTGGTTTACGATTTAAAAAAATAAAGTTACATTTATGTATAAATTTTATATTAGCATTTTTTTTCAGCAAATGAAACACAGAAGCACTGAGGGTTTTGTTGAATAAAGGTTTATAATAAAATCATACCGCAAGTTTATAATAGTTTTAAATTAATCAAATCTATTGTTACCTTGCAAGAGCTTCCATATTGTGCATCGGCTGCCCCTTGATTATGGAGCCGTCAGGCCTAGGAACTCCTGGATGCGGCATTCCCGGTGACATTAGCGCATGCTGGTGCATGAAGCCCATGGGTCCAAGATGCGTCGGAGGTGCGTTGTATCCGTTGGCGAGGAGCGGTGACTTCTCCATTCGGGCCATTTCTGTGGGCAAATAATCATTTTTTCTTATTTAAAAACTAAATCAATGCCAATATTTTTGATTAAATTTTATAATTTGCTATTTGGATGTGTAGTGGTGGTTCTTATATGGGTATGTAGATATTATTTAGAGTGACAACCGTATGGCCTCTCCACTGGACATAAAAACTCTTGTAAAAAAAGATCCTGACGAATTCAAATACCTTCTCCGATAAACTTATCATTAGGATAAATTGTTTCTAAATACAAATCACTATTCTGAACGACTAAGCTCAGTACCGTCCACACTTTTTATTCATCTTCAGGATTTTTTAATATTAAAAGCATTACCTCTACTGTACGATAAGATAAATCTGAAAGCTTGTATTGTAAACAGGCAGAACTTGAACAACTATTTGTAGGCTACATAAATACTTGCCTGGGTAGGAATCGTTCTAAGATTCTCAGCTATCCTATCCCTTGGCCTATCACTTGGCCACTGCACCAAACGGTCATCTAACTGAACCGAGCAAACCATTTGTGAAAGTTACTATCACACAAACCAAACATTAAGAGACGGTAAAATCTCCGATATTTACAAAGGCACCGATTCTAAACTGCCTGCGTTCAAAAACTCCAGAAATTCGTCAACATTAATAACGAACCACTTTAACGGAATAACGCACCTGCCGGGGTAAAATCCAATCAATTCCCGGTATTATCATTTAATTACCCGCTCCAATAATCGAATTGGCCGTAAACGGCGAATCAACAATAATAAAATGAGCAATGAATTTGAGACTATTGTTTTCTGGGCACCACAAACAGCCCGTGTAAACACGGAGGGGTGTTGGGCAAATATTCTTAAAACGACCTCCCTTACGGGGGTGTGTTAAGGTGCCAGGGTGGTTCTGGACATCCGCGGGCCCTCACCCGAGGTCACCAAACGGACAGGGGTGTTTCGAACAATTAACGAGGTGTCGAATTATACACGAATTAACGGTTGGACCGTTAAAGGAAAATACCCTTTTCCATTGTGGCGACGGCCCACAAAGGATTTTAGGATTGCTGAGCATTCAATATGTAGGTGGCTTTGTTCGGTGATTAAGGACACGCGCTATTAGGACAAACGACGCAGACATAGCTTAGCTAAATCGATAAATAAAGATTCAGCCTCAATACATTGCACGCCACGCTTAGACACCTGCCTTGCGAAATTCTGCCTAATATTTGATAGGATCTACAAGAGACTTTTCAATAGATTTTTTTCTTAGTCGCAGTGGTCGCTGGGACTTACTACCCAAACCCTTGTCACAAAAAATCACACATACAAAATTATTTGTACTTTTAACTGTAGAAAATATGAATCAAGTTACAACCATATTTCAACAATGCCCAATTTAAACATAAAGCCTATGTTTACGACCGAGTAATGATTATTTTTTCTGATTTTTATACAGCTCCATTGATTTGATTGATGAGGTCTCATTCTCTCATTGTAGTCTATAATTCTACTGTTACAAAGTTACCTCACCTTCATCCACATCAGGAAATACTCCCAGATTAAACTAAGTTACAAACAAACAAACATCATGACCAATGGACCCTGAATTAATTGACCGGGTTTATTTACTTAGTTAACCGCTTCGGTTATCTTCTGAGCCATACACCGGTTAAAATTTACATTTGTGGCGGGCGGACTTTGTGTTTTATGTACACACATATAATTTAAGTACACATCTGTGCCGATGTTTTATTTTTGTTTGTATTTAAGTTGAAACACAAGTGATGCACGCTTTACCATAGCTTTGTTATAACGTTCAATTGATTTCTTATGTAAAAATCACAGTCTTACATTTGTGCTTCGTTTGTGACAAAGTTGTTTTGACTCTTTTTGTCTTCGTGATAAACTTAGGGTTAGTATCCTAAGTTGCCACGGTGATTAAAACTTAATTTTTCGTTAACTTAAACGACATTAATCATCGCTTGTGACATGTAAGTTGTGATTAACTAACGATGTATAGGTTTTTGTTCCTTAGCGGCAATAAGGGTGCTAAACCAAAAATCATATTTACAACTCCGCGGCCCCATTCTAACCAACAGCGGTCAACCGCATTCACTAATTAACTGGTCCGTGTTAAATCTCATAACCTGCGGTCCCAACACTCTTGCCGTCTCTTTCTCACAAGTAGAGTCAGTTACGGTCGCGTTATATTTTATTAACGTGTTAACACTTCTGTCGCGCATGGTGGAAAAGTTAAATTTCTCTAATTTAAAAATAGTAATCACTCATTTTTCTACCTCCTTCGACTTTTTCGTTCTATCGACTACTTTCGCCCAGTATAGTGCACTTTGTCATATACGTAAATAGCATTCCTCAATCAACAAATGTTAACTTTTCATCATATTTATTGACGCCTACAAAGTATTATGTTAAAACAAATTTAATACATCGTTTCTGTACAGTTTCTAATTAGTAAATTTAGATAAATGTAAAATGAATTGGCAGAACTATAAATACTTATACTGTTTAAGATGAAACGAGTTCGTTTGTAAATTGTTATTTTTGTATAAATGCTAGAATTTAAGCTATAAATCACCTAATCTGACACAAAATATCATTTATAAATGAAATGATCGTTCAAGACCAAAATATAACGGCTTGACCGATTACCGCTATTACTATTATTAAGGGAATCCGCTCATTAAGCATTTAAAGAAATGAAACATCGATTGTGAGCCATTATCGTGTCGATTTTCGTCGATTTATCGATCGAATATCGACTGTCCTCGATAAAAGACCGCATCAAATTACGGACGATTATATCGAATTAGATTCGATAGAATATGGACCCCAATTAGATCGCTTATGTGTTTAAAGGAGGCTGGGATGTAGACAATAACAACCACAAAGCCGAAGGACCTTTTAAACGCATAAAAACCCACAATGAGCTTAAGCGCCGAGTTTACAAATCCGACTAATATCTGTCTGGGTTTTTATGCAACATGCATGTAGTTATACAAAAATATCAGTACAAAATTTTGTATGGCGCTAACTGATCGACGCTTGTTTTATGGCATAGCAAAACTATACACGTCGCGCGAAAGATAATGGAGCGTCCATAATAACATCGAGTTTTATTACGGACAGATTACAAAATGACCAAACGTAAGGTAAGGCATAAATAATTGGCCATAAAGCGAAAAGAACGCGCGCTCCGGCAGACAATGTATAGTTTGCACACGGGTTCACCTGCCAGAGAACTGTTACACTCAAACCGTCATAAATACAACTTTGATTACAGATACGATACGATACTAAAATAATTTTCTTTGACTTAAAAGTCCCGCTCGTCCGTACTTGTTGGTAAACATAAAGTAACAATTATCCACAAGCGATGGTTATTAAACTTTACTCAGCACAGACTATTTAGCACCTAACCGTTAGCATACTATATTACGTAGGCGGGATGATAAGTAACTAGCCATTGCTATTTAAAAAGTTTAAATTAATATGTAATTTATAAATTCGTATCTCTCGCCACCTGTGTTCTAAATTTGAATTTGGTGGCATGAAAATTTTATTATTTTTGTGTTATTTGAAAATATATTTCGTCAACTGTTTTCAAAATGGAGAAAATTTAACAAAGAGCGGTGATAAAGTTTCTTCATATGAAGGGCATGAAGGGGAAGCTATCTATGACGAGTTAAAGAATGTTTTGGCTGAATGTGCTCTTTCTTATGCCACAGTAAAAAACTGGGTGGCTGAGTTTAAACGCGGTCGTACATCTGTCCAAGATGAAGCCCGCCCCGGACGTCCAAAAAGCGTCATGACTCCGGAAATGGTCGTGAAAGTACAGGATATGGTTTTAGCAGATCGACGATTGAAGTTATCTGAAATAGCTGACACTACAGGTATCTCAAAAGAATGGGTAGATCATATCCTAAGTGAGGTATTAAATATGAAAAAGTTATCGGTGACGCGATTGCTTACGCACGATCAAAAAAGGATTCGGGTGCAAAACTCAAAAGAATTTCTGGACCGTTTTCAGAGTAATAAAGCCGATTTTTACGTCGATTTATAACAACAGATGAAACATGGGTTACACGCCAGAATCAAAAAATCAATCAAAACAGTGGACTCAATCGGGATGCCCGGCTCCAAAAAAAGCCATGGCTGTAAAGCGGCTGGAAAAGTGATGGCTTCCGTCTTTTGGGATGCAGATAGGATCTTAATCATAGATTACCTTGCTAAAGGTCAGACAATTAATGGTGAATACTACGCTAATCTTCTTGATAAGCTTCATCAATGTATTCAGCAAAAACGACCAGGATTGGCGAAAAAAAAAACATCTTCCACCAAGATAACGTTTAGGGTTCACCCATTTGTTAAAGCTATGGCAAAAATCAACGAATTTAAGTATGATTTGCTGCCCCACCCACCTTATTCGCCTGATCTAGCGCCATCAGACTTCCACTTATTCCCTAAGCTCAAAACTTTTTGGGCGGACAGAAATTTGCCACAAATGATGAAGTCACACCCGCTGTAGAGGAGTATTTTGCAGGCCTCGAAAGAAATCATTTTCTGGAAGGCATTACTGCTTTAGTATGAAGATGGAATAAGTGTGTAGAGGTTCACGGAGATTATGTCGAAAAATAAAATTAATTTTATCACTGAAAGTTAAGTGTTTTTCTTATTAGCCTAGTTACTTATCATTCCGCCCTCGTACAATAAAAAAATCTAGCAATTATTCTATATCGTATAGTAAGAAATCCACTTAAAAGTAGCTTCACAGTCTTCATTGCCCCTCGAACAAGTTAAAAGTGCAGTAACGATCGGTAAATCATAGGAAAGGAATAAATTATTAGATGCATTAAACCTCGTAATATAAATACGAAGGTAATGAAGGATACAATGTTGCGAAATGGTTATATTTCAGCTTGAAAGGTATTGCTGTGTGATTCTGTATACGGATAGTACGGCTATAAAACTCTTGTAACAAGGTTCGAAGCAGTTCAAATCG